AGGAAGGAAGGAAGGAAGGAAGGAAGGAAGGAAGGAAGGAAGGAAGGAAGGAAGGAAGGAAGGAAGGGAAAGCTCATCTGCAGACTTTCACACTCGCCCTCTAACTCCTCCCGTGTACTTTTTATAGGTTCCCAGAGAGAGGGCCTCAGATGCAGGCCCCCCTGCCAGCTGGCCAAAAGGGTGTAAGCAGAGGGAGTGGAGGGGATGAAGAGACAGGGCACAGGGTGAACATGGGGCAAAAGGTAAAGTGCTTCCCGAGCAAGATGGGGTACGAGATTCCAAACACACCCAGCAACCAAGAATGTGGAGTGCGCTGACTGTCTGGGGTAAACAGAAACAAGATGCTGAGCAACAGCTGTGCCCGCCGGCAGGAAGGAGGGGGCAGCATTAGGACAGGGGTGCGCAGAAGCCATCACCAACAATGGTTCCAGGCCACCTGCCCCAACCTCCATTCTCCACACCCCCAGGACAAACTGCCACACAGTCCTGGACGGGTGTTGTTAGGGCGCCATCTGCAGGATAGCATCTCAAGAGATGCTGGGCTCTCAGTGTAGAAGCAGGTGAGACTTGGGCAAATAAGTTTAGTCCAGAGAGCCAGTCAGTGGGAGTGAAAAAGGGCCAACGTCCCCCTCGGTCTGAATTTACTTGCAGAGATGTGGGGAAGTCAGTCAGCCAGGCACACCTCTGTCCACAACAGACAAGGGTGAGCAGCTCCCAGAGACTACAGAGAAGAGTTGCAGTGGGGGCGCATGCTTGCAATCCCAGCACTCAGGCGGCTGAGGCACAAGGACTGAGTTTTCAAGGTCAGCATGGGTTATAGATTGAGACCCTGTCTGAAAACACACAAGTTTCTAGGGACTGACCCAGGGGCCTTGGGTGTGCTAAGCACACACTTCACCACTGTTCCCTGCATAAGACAAATATAACAAAGTTGGGCAGATATCAAAGTCTCCAAAGGAAATAAAATCAATTTCAAAGTTTGCCAAAGTTTCAGCAACCCAAACACTCTAGGAAGACTACAGTAGTTCTTAGACCTAGTCCTCCTCTGTATGTAAGGCATTAACTGCCCATAGCATGAAGTCACAGGTCACTGTAGAACCTCCCGTAGCCGCTGGCATATGCCCAGACACTGAACTTACACCTGGGCTGCCGATACCCACAGCATTCCAAATAAACGGGGGGCTCTGACACCACTGTGATGGGTGTAGGTTAGGAGCACAGGCGTTGCTTCTCTTCTGTTCCCTCTTAAACTAGGACCTTGATCTACTCACACAGCTGACACAGCAGAGAAGCAGCAACTGTAGGAAGGAAGCAACCGAGGCCCTAGCTGGCTGGCCCATGGACAGGCTAGGTAGAAAGGCAGGGCATGCATCAAGGCTGAGGGCAAGGGATGAGGCAGGTCGGAGCCGGCCACCAGCCCTCGGCTCTCTTAGTGCATAGTCAGGGCGCTGGGGTCAGCAGCGAGTTCCATGATGACTTTACCTTCACAATTTCCTGTGCCAAGATCCCTCCAACCACAGCACATACTGGGGCCATCTCACAGAAGCAGTACCTAGAAGACAGACAAGTAAAACATAGCACCAGGGCATTGGGGGCTGTCCTGGATCAAAGTCCTAGCCAGAGGGCAGTGCTAGAACTGGCATCCAGGCGTGAAAATTAAATCTGACCCCAGGGGCTCCTTAAATGGGTGGGAAAGACCTTTAACTTTGGAAAGCACTTCACATGATTTTTTTTTTCAAAGTTGAAGGAAAGACTATCTCTGTGCTTCCTAAAAATAAGGCCCTACAAACACCAGATGTGTGAGTGCCCAGCACATTCCCGCAATTCTCTCTGCACACAGGCAGTGTGCTCTTCTGTATGCTATTCCCGAGCCATGGGCAAGCAGGCCGTGTTAACACGCCAAGAGGAACACGGGGTGCAGCACAGTCTTTATGCCCCTCCTAGAAAGCAGCTCCGTCCTTCTGGGCCTGGCTTGAGAACGCAGAGGACAAATGTCAGAGGAGACTGTCAGCTGACCCCCCAAATCACCATCGTGGGGGTCAAAACACGTTTAGCTACAGGTTCCCAAAGGAAGCTGCCCAGCTAGTTCCCAGCCCACAGCACAGAGGGGTCAGTCAGAGGAGCAAACTGGGGCGGCAGCAGGCCACCCTGACCTTTTACACGGGTATACCACCCCCACACATATACGGTAAACTCAACTACCAACACCCGCCCATTCTGTGATCTGGTAAGTCAATGATAAGTGTTTAAACTGCCATCAAGGAGCCATGCACAAACCATCCAAATGGTCTGCTGCATATGAAAGAGACCCATCCCATACGGAACAGTAAACCCCAGGCACAGACGACCAAGTGTGGTAACAATGTTCCTTTGATCACAAAACAAAACCAAAACCAAGACTGCGGAGCTCCCGCTTTCGTCTCAGGAGCACTAGGCCTGAAGTGAGAAGTGAGCAGCACTCTAGGCCCAGTCTTTGTGTTCACTCTTAGGGTGCTGGGGACTAGTCGAGGGTCTGGTGCACGCCAGGCAGGTGCTCTGCCAGAGATACACCCTTTGCCCTCTTCTTACCTTCGGAGACGAGAGCTTACTAAACTGTCCAAGCTGGCCTTGAACTTGTGATCTTCCTGCCTTTGCCTCCTGAGCACCTGCCATTACAGGACATGCTACACAGCCACTTGTTAAGCAAACAAACCACTCACACACCTATACTCTGCCTGTTACACTCCACAGTATTTTGCTTTTTTCCTCCTCACAAGTACTGTTTTAGGCGGTGCCGCCACCTGTCTTTAGCCCCAGCACTGGCAGGCAGAGGCAGGTGGAGCTCTGTGAGTCCTAGAACAGTCAGGTCTACAGAGAGTATACAGACATGAAGACCCGAGTTTATCCCCAGAACCCATGTGAAAGCTAGGCACGATGGAGACAAGATGATACCCGGGGCTTTCTGGCTAGCTAGTTTAACCAATGAGCACCCTCCAGGTTCGGTGACTCTTCTTAGAACCGTAAGATGGAGAATGACTGAGGAAGATACCCCAATGCAACCTTTGGTCTCCACACCCATAGGAAAGCACATGTATAGGCGCCTACCCATAGACATACAAACCTGTGGGGGTGGGGGGGCTGTAGCTTAGTGGTATAGCATGTGCTCAGTGTGTCTGAGTCCTTTAAGTCAGTCTCTAGCACCAAAAAGAAAAAGCAGGGGAAAAAAATCCAAAAGAACAAAAAACAAAAATCCCAGAAAGTTCACAAAGGATGACATGGGTAGGTAAGAGGTTGAAATGGTCTCTCTAGAGTCCTGGTTAGCCTTGAACTCGAGGCAATGCTCTTCCCTCTGCCTCAAGTTGATGGGAGGACAGGTATGTGCTGAGATGTCTGATGCCTAAGACAAATACTACACGATTCCACTTACATGAGAGATTTAGGACAGAGTGCACTGGAGGCCCCAGGAGCGGGAGGACTAGAATAGGTAGTCGATGATGATGGCTGTGCAACAGTGAGAGCAGAATTAATGCCAAGGAATGGCGTACCCAAAAGTGGTTAAAATGGGGCAAAGAGCACTTGCTGTTCTTCAGAGGACCTGGGTTCTATCTATTCCCAGCACCACACAATAGCTCATAACCACCTGTTATGCCCAGTTCCAGAGCAGCTGACACCCTCCTCTGGCCTGTGTGCTCCTGCACACACATGGTGCAGACAACATGCAGGCAAACATCCACACACATGAAGTATAAGTAAACAAAACAAAGGCTAGAGTGAGGGAGGCCCAGGGAGATGACTCAGTAAGTAAAGGCACAGACCTGGTGACTTGCGTTCAATCCCTGGAACCCAATAAAGGAGGAAAGAGAACGCACTCCACAGGTATTCTGACCTCCAGACACATATGCATATGACATATGCATCCTACTCTCCCATCATCACATACTCACACACCTAAAACAAATTGCTAAAATGGCCAAATTAGAAAAAATTATTACTGACTTGACTCATTTACATCTCTATTTAATAATGTGAACACGCCACAGCACCGAGTAGAGGTCAGAGGACAACTTGCAGAAGGCTGGGTTTCTTCTTTCACTATGTGGCCATAGGGACTGAACTCAGGTTGACAGGGCGGCAAGTGCTCTACCCCATGAGCTCATTGTCCCAGCCCAAGATGGCTAATTTTGTCATGTATACTTTACTATCAATTTGTTTTGAGACAGGATCTCATATAACCCAGGCTAGCTTCAAACATGCTACATAGTAGAAGAGGGCTCTGAACTCCCGATCCTTTTAATTTTTAAAAAATACAGCATCATTTATTTTGTACATAAAGTTATGAACATTTGTTTATGAAGTGCTGACACTATAAACACACCCTAATAAAGTAAGTGATGGTTAAATTAATAGCTACACATCCAGGCAGTGTAATAACAAGTATGTACAAGTAACAAGTGGATGTACAATAACAGAGATCTGGTTAGTAACATAAATAAGCCACATGGTATACTGTAAAGAGGCAATTGAAGAATACCTATTATAATATTTAAACAATAGAAAAAATTATCTGTGAGCCCAGACTCAAAGATGTTAGCAGCAGCTGAAACAGGCCATCTTTTCCCATCAGAAAAGCAATAAGGCTCTTTGAGGAGACAGCACTCCAAACTAGACGGAGAGGGGCACAGGCCAGATGAAGGACAGACACGCAAGCATAGCTGTCCCTGCTCAGCTGAGAGCGGGAGACATTTCCTCCAGCACAGCCCGATCCTATCCCCTAGCCTGCCAGCAGATATCCTTCAAGAGGCCTCCGAACACCTCTTACTTAGAAGGAAATAGGAGAAGCAGCTGAACACACAGAACCTAGACAGGGATGCGGTTTCTACAGATGGTAGGCAGGTACAAAAGAGAAGGGCCAGCCAGTAGCTCATTAGGCCAGGTATAGCCCGTCCCTTCTGTTGCCTGGTGAGATATCAACAGCCAGTTCATCACCATAAGTGCTCAAATTAGTCCATTAGCTGTATGAGAACTGACTGCCTGGGTGGGTCTGTTGGAGAAGCTTGGTGGGACTGAGTGCTCCTCAGGCTCAGAAGTACAGAGCAAGCAATGCCTGCTCCTGGTGTTCTGGTCCTTCCCACAGCAGGAGCAGAGTGCCAAGCATGCAGTGCTGCCAGGCCTGCTCTTGTGTGTCACTCTTGCCAAAGTACCTCCGAGACGGCTTTCCTAGCTGTGGAGGTCAGCCTTTTAGTTCACAGCTGCACAGGGAGTTAAAGACCAGTGGTGCTCCTACATGGGTGATGTGGCTAGGGTGGGTATGAGGAGCCCAGAAAGAGAGAAGGCTCTAGGAAGAAGGAACCTGGAAGCAGTATGCGCTAACAACACAGCTGTGCAGAAAGACCTCGTGCAGGGGACTAGCCATTGTGCGTCCCTGAACTTCTACCCCTTGCCTACAAACAGCATCGCTTGGAGGACTAAGGCAGATCACGAGCTCACCGAACAACTGTCCTGTTGCAGAAAGCTGCTCAGAAATTGCAGCAAATAAACTGCGCTCACAATTCCTAGGGCTACAGCTTGGAGGCTCAGGGGTTGGGGGTGGGGGGTCAGCTCAAGGGTGCCCCGGATGGCAGAGCTGCCTGGAAGGAACTCAGGGCTACTTGTCCACAACATCCCAAGCCTGACTGTGTGAGAGCAGCAGACTGCCAAGGCTAGAGCTTCCCAGAGTCTGAGGACTGGATCTGAGGTCTCTACTGATACATACCTGCTGCTGGATGACAAAAAACTACCCCAATATCTACCAAGTGACCAGTCACACCTTTAGACCCAGCAACTCGCTCCTTATTCATCTACCATGTAGCCGAATCTGGACAGTGCACGACCCAAGGAGACACAGGACAGCATTACACAGCTAAGACTGAACACAAGGCCAGCAAGCAGGGAAAAGCTGTAGTGCTCCACACGCTGGGATCCTCCACCCTGTGACAGGTGAGGAAATGACGCACCGATGAACCCCTCACACAGGACAGAGGTGAGACAGAAAGGCCCAGAACGTGCTAACAGACCACATCGCACCTTCAATTACAAACCACATGAAACCAAACCTACAAGTCTTCGTTTCTCTTGCAGTGTTGGTTATAGAACTGGTAGGTGGTTTATGCAGCTGGCAAATGTGGCACAGGAGTCCCCTTTGAGGCTTTGGGTCTCCATAAAGACAAACACCAAAACCAGCTGTCTGTCTGTCTGTTCAGATACCAACCTGACAAAGTCATCAGGAAGCAGGTCAGGACTGACGCCCAGTGAGTCAAGCACATCATTTCGTATCTGCAGCAGCAGTTCAGCATCCTCACTGTAGCTCTCAGAACTGGGATCTCTCCCTTTATCTGTGCGGAATTTCAGCAGCACTGGGAAAGGGGAAAAGGAGGTTAGAGAGCCAATCTTATAATGAATGTTCTGATCTCACTTCAAAATCTCAATAGAAGGAAAACCCAAAATATCTTTTTTTTTCTTTTTACCTATAGGAAACAATACATTAATCAAAATGCAGGCCAGGTGAAAGGTAATACATTTTTTTCCCCATCCAACAAATGCAGTCAGAAAGGCAACTATAGCCGTACAACAGCTAAATTTTCTGTGACAAATGTAAAGTAAAATGGGATCTGACCCAGGTCAAAGTCAGGTAAGGCTTTCCTGAGGAGGAAACAAGTAAAATGTGTGTGGGCAGCAGAGGCCAGCAGACGCCGTTACTACGACCTGGAGGAGAGGTTGGGGTGGGAGGCCTGCATTCTAGGCATCAGTACAAAGGGCTGATAGCCAAACACTCACTCACCAGACAGGCAAGTTACTGCAAACAAACCTCCCTTAACACAAGAACTATGTCAACCTCCAGGAACCAAGGAAGCAGGGAAAGGTTCCAACCACGTCTCGGCCCCAGGCTTATGTAAGGAGAACTTGGTCCAAATGAAGCAGTACCACTGATACAAGCACTTTCTGCGGCTGCTGTACCGGCCTGTGTCACCTGTGTACTTTTTCAAGGCAGAGCGACCACAGGGTCACAGTCCGCCCCATACCACAGGGTATTTCAGAGTGGAGGGAGACACGTCCCTCAGCTTAGCAGCCTCAGCCCCCGGTGCTCTGCACAGTACTCACCTGCACAGGCACTTTACTGTTAGCTAGACACACTCATTTAAGTCTTAGCCCCACAGGGCAGAGGCTCCTCTGAAGATGAAGGAGACTGGAAAGCTGAGCCATCTCAAGTTGCTCCAGGCTCTTAAAAATACAAGCATTTTGAACTTGACCCAACTAAAGAACTATTCCTTTTTCTTTTCTTTTCTTTTAAAAAAATATTTATTTATTTATTTATTTATTTATTTATTTATTTATTTATTTATTTATTTATTATGTATACAGAAGAGGGCACCAGATCTCATTACAGGTGGTTGTGAGCCACCGTGTGGGTGCTGGGAATTGAACTCAGGACCTCTGGAAGAGCAGTCGGTGCTCTTAACCTCTGAGCCATCTCTCCAGCCCCTCCTTCTTCTTTTTTAAATTAAGATTTTAAATTATGTGTGAGTGTGTGCATGTGCAATGAAGACACCTGATTTGGCATCTGGGGACTGGCTGGAGTGGCAGCTGCACGCGGTTACTCAGAAAGCCCCTTCCCCAATGTCCCACGAAAACAGAGAAACTCAGACACCAGACAGTCTAGCCACAGCAATTTCTCTGGGTGGCTCTTGCACATTGTCAATGACTGCGGAGAAGACAGGGCACCAACCCCCACAGTGTTGAACAAAATCCAAACAGTGATAGACCCTGCTGTGTGTAAGGAGCCATGCTCAACAGCCTACATGTATCAGTATCTTCACAAGAGTAACCCGAGAGGATGGTGAGAGGAAGAAACATCCAGTGAGAGATGACTCAGTTAACTGCTAAGGGAAAAGGAACAGGAGTGTAAACGTAGGCCTGCTTCTGGAATCCAAAAGTGGCAGAACCATGCAGCAATTTGGCACTAAAGGTGCCATGTGGTCTGGTCCTTTGCCACACTGGACTACATTTTTGCAAGACACATTTCCCAGATGGTCTTGAATGCTCACAAAGGTAACAACATCCACTGCAAGTTACTAGATCAGAGGATGAGCAGAGGGAGCAGAACCCCGTGTCCATCTGTCTTCAGAGAGTAACATCAGCTTTGCCTCAGAAAGAAACCAGGTGGCACCACGAGGAAGAGCAAAGGCAGAAGGCAGCGGCCTGGCCATTCCGGGTGCAGTCCGCCTGGATGAGGCCGGCAGGCTGGCACCGTGCACATACCTCACTGACCACATCTGAGGGCCACTGGGAAGGCGGCCAACAGCAGGGCCACTTATTTGCAGTAAAGCAAACAGAAGCTGTCTTTTTTCCTCTTTTTTGAATGTCAGCACTCATTAGCAGAGGTGAAGGGGGCGGGAAGGAACTCATGTTCCAGAAAGGACTGACCCCAGCCCCTGACAAGTTCTTACTACATTCTGCTCTTTGTTCTGCTTTCTGAAGCTCTCAAACAGTCAGCCACACACGAGCAGGGCTGTTGACTCTGCATTTCTGAAGCACACCTCCTCACCAGTTTGGGCTGTAATTCGTTCAGATCAAACACTGGGATGGAGAACTGCTTTGCCAAAAGATGACTCATCGGATAACATAAAAACACTACAAAATGAGAGTTCTAAACTTGATTAACTTCATCTGAGCGATTTTACTCAGGTTGCCCAAGGATGATGACATGTACTGATGAAGATAAACCGAGGTCTCTGCTTAAGTTTAGGACTAGTCCATGTCCTAAACTTATGTGATGAAAAAGACAAATTTTGCAAATGAGCTTCTGCCAGGCAGTGGTGGCACACGCCCTTAATCCCACCACTCAGGGAGGGAGAGGTGGAAATCTCTGAGTTCGAGGCCAGCCAGGTCTACATAGTGTGTTCCAGGAGAGTCAGGGCTACACAGAGAAACCCTGTCTAGAAAAACAAAACCAAACATTTTTTTTTTCATGTTATTACAGAGAATCTGTGTGTATGTGAACATAACACAATTTCTACAAAAATATCTAAATATACACAAACTTCATCTGAATTCAGAACATCAGCTCAGTGCTACCAGCAGTTGTGGTCACACAGTTAGAAGAACACTGGTAAGTTCACATTCAAGTTTAGCCTGGGTTACACAGTGAGATGCTATCTCAAAAGCCAAAAATAAATAAAATGTTATTATGACAGGGGCTAGGGATGTGCCCAGCAATAATGTATTTATCCACCAGGGGCCAGGCCCTGGGTTTCATCTCCAGCATAGAAGCAAGAACCAGTCAGTCAAATACTGTATTTAATGTGATCACCAAAGCCACCCAAAACAAAGCAGCACACACACAAGTATTTATTTAATAGAAGACAATTGGGTGTCACAAACTAGCCCCAATACAAGCTTCAAAATTGGCTCAACTGAAGGCAGGGAGCTTGAACTTGTATCAAAATCCCCCTTTTCTGGGCAGACAACGTGGCCTCATCTTCCTAGTGCTCTCTGAGGAAAGAAACTCATCCATCCCCAACTGGCTCACTTAGGAAAGCTTCCTTCATTTGTTTTTTTTTTTTTGTTTTTCGAGACAGGATTTCTCTGTGTAGCTTTGTGCCTTTCCTGGAACTCACTCTGTAGCCCAGGCTGGCCTCGAACTCACAGAGATCCGCCTGCCTCTGCCTCCCGAGTGCTGGGATTAAAGGCGTGCGCCACCACCGCCCGGCCCCTTCATTTGTTTTTTAGATACAGGGTGTCATTATGATACCCAGGCTAGTCTTAAACTCATCTACCAATGATTCCCCTGCCTCAGCCTTCTCGGTGCTGCAAATAGAGTTGGGAAGCAAGCACACATTTCCAACAGGCTAATTGATATTCTCTGTCTTCCAATAAGATTTTACCATGCAGCCCAGGCTGGCCTAGACCTCTGGTCTTAATTCGTCTTCCAGTAACTAGGAATGCAGGCCTATATACTACCACACTGGGTCTCCTCCAATAGCTAGCTATCTAAGGGAAGACTACAGGCCTGACATTGAGAAATCACCCTTTCAGTCCATGTGTACTGAGTGGCGCTAGAGCCGGTGCTGGGCAGGGAAGAACAAACAGAATGCTCCCCCTCCCCAGATGATTCTCAAAAGGGTGACCAACAAAAACCACACAGGGACTAGCATGGCCAACTCCAGAAGCTCTGAAAGCCTAGGGGTGCCAGGGAATGCTTTTCTCAGCAGCCAGTCTCCCCCACTGGCAGAGCCACACATGCTTAGTTCCTTCTGCTAGGCTGCATCTTCTCTGTGCCAAGGTCATCTCAGGCCCAGAGAGCTGGCAAGTTAGAAGGCAGCACAGAATACCAATGAACAGCCACATGGCTAAAGTCTCTTTTGGAAAACTGGACACCCAAGAACACTTAGTCAAGGTATTTAAGCCCCAAGGATAGTGTGTGGTTCAGTGTGAACACACCAAAAAGATGCGGGCCAGTTCTGTCATTCCCTCCCCCGCAGTGTGGTACCCTAACTCACATGCCCCCGGAGCAGCCAGCACTGGCTCGGGTTACTTATTTATTTGTGTTACAAGTCGATTTGGCCCCTTTCCTTTCTCTTTTCTGTTTCACTCTTTTCACCTCAGTTTCTCTTTTTTCTTTAAGATGGTGTCAGTTGGATGGTAGTAGCACACACCTTTAATCCCAACCATCAGGAAGTAGAGGCCAGCCTGGTCTACAGAGCAAGTTTCAGGACAGTCAGGGCTACACAGAGAAACCTTGTCTTGAAACAAACCAACAAAAAAACAACGCAAGGGACTGGAGAGATGGCTCAAGTGGTTAAAGGTACTGATGCTCTTCCAGAGGATCCAGGACTCACAACCTCCAGTTCCAGGGGAATAAGATATCCTCTCCTATCCTCCAAGGACACTGTGCATGTCTGTAATCCCAGAACTCTGGAGATAGAGGCAGAACTTCAAAGCCATCCTCAGTCAATCTCAAAAACGAAGAAACAAGCAGCCCTTTGAGTGGCATAGGCCTATAACCCCATCATTTTGGAGGTGAAGGCAGGACCACTACAAGTCCAAGGTCATCTTTTACTACACAGTAGTTAATGCCAGCCTGGACTACAGGAGACTCTGCCTCAAATAACCCAAAACCACATCTCTTGGAGGCCAATGTTGTACCTGAAGCTCATAGGTAGTAGGACACAGCTTGTGGCAGAGGACAGGGGTCCCTGGAGGCTACTATGAGCTGGTGGCCTCTCTTCATCTACTCAGATCAGTGCCCAGTATTTTCCTATTGACCTCAAGTCCAGTCTCAGCAGCATCAGTCCATGCACATGTATACTTATTTCAGTAACACTCTCTGAGCCCAGGTCTCTACCCCAGGCCTCAG